CTAGTAGCGATGGCCTGCACCTATAGCAGCTTCTTGCTCCTAGTAGCAATGGCCTCCAGCCTAGTAGTGATGGCCTCCACCTACTAGCTTCTTGCTCCTAGTAGCGGTGGCGTCCACTTAGTAGCTTCTTGCTCTTGGTAGCGCTGGCCTCCACCCTAGTAGCGATCGCCTGCACCTAGGAGCTTCTTGCTCCTAGTAGCGATGGCCTCCACCCTAGTAGCGATGGCGTCAAGGCATCTACACTCTCCCCATTGGTGAACAGCTTGGGCTCTTTGTGCAGCTCTGAGTGCCAAGCGGGCTGTCACTGGGCAAGCTGCCCTCCACATCTGCTTCGTCCATGGTGTCACAGCGAACTTCACCCAGTCAGCGCGTCGAATGGAGAGGCGCAGCCAGTGGCGTTTACTCTCGAGGGCCAAACCCTGAGGGTCTCCTTGGGTCTAACCATGTCGAACCAGTCTGAGGGGCCCTCCTTTTGAACGCTGCTTCACGGCTGTTCGGACCGCTGCACCGATTCTCCTTCAAATCATTTCCCCAAGTAGGTGAGGAATGACACCAAAGAAACGCGTTTTGGAATGCTCACGTGTCTGTTCTTTTTCCGGTTATACTGCCTGGACGGTCTTGAACAAAGGCATTTTGTACTCCTTTCCGTTTTGTTTGGTTCTGTTTCTCTTTAGGCCTTCCTGCCCTCGTTGTTCTCCTTGTCCTTCCATTATAGAATGATGTTCAATGTTGATGGGCCACTTAAGGCCAACTAACTCTATACCTCTGAAGCCCTTGAACCATTTCGGTGCACGTCGTGGACGGCGTGGACGGGCATCACCACGTGGAATGACGTGACTTGGCTGTGAGTCAAAACCATGGCAGGCCCTGGCACTCTGTTTTTGTTGGGGGAGGCTCAGCTGAAGGGCTCTAGCTTACTGTTGTCTTCTAGGCATCCTTTTCTCAGCTGTCGCCTGGTTCAGGACTATGTCCAGGACAGAATGAAACGTTTTCATCAAAAGCGCCAAAGCCTGCTAAAAAGTTTGCGTGGCAGGACCGCGTCATCTGTAATGAAAGCTTGCCAAAACAAGTTTAAAGAGAACAGAATACCAATACTTTTCTGGAGTTGCCCTGCTCTGATGCTCAAGCTTGTGGCATGTTCCAACGCTCTGGTCGTGGCAGGCTCAATGGCAAAATGATTTCCAACAAGCTGCGCAGACCATGCCAGAGTATTCAAGCGATGTTGCAGTTCAAAACAATACGTCATTTCATGTCAAACACTGCACGCGAGTCTCCATGAACTCTTGCATGGTCTGAACACTGCATACACGAAAAACTCGTGTCAAAGAACAAACGACCTGCTCTCTGACAGGTTTGCACTTCACAGATGTTGCCTGCTTACTTAAGAAGGCTGCTATTGTATGTGAAGCGCAATTTAAAAAAAAAAAAATAGATTTTAGATGCCTGTCATTTGGCAGCTCCTCTGAAAAGACATGTGCAGGGTGAGGGAGTTGATAAAAGAAAATTGCTAACTAATGATTGTGCAAGGTAAATAGGAACAAAAATTCCCTGAAAAGATTGGCACGCGACCTGTTGCATATCTTATGTGGAACAAATGAGAGAATTTACCCTGCTGCCATCGTCCAAACTTGACCCTGCTAGAGTTCCGCTCTTGACCAACTTTGAAGCTGTCCTGAGATGCAGCTGGCTGTGCGGATGTGCCATGAGGTGTCCCTTGAAAGACCATCCTGCAAAGCTTCTCAGAATTGTGCTTGGGCCCGCAGATCAAGTGCTTCTTGATCAAGATGCCCAATGATCAGCAACCGAACATAGTTGTCTTGGGCTGCAAGAGCTTGAAGTGCCAAACGACGGTCGATGGGATCCTTGGAGCACGTGACGTGTCCTGCGTTTTCCTTTCTTTGGCTCTCTTGTCTTCATCTTTCCCCTTTCTTGGCCCACTTTCCAGTTTGGGTGGGCATGGTCGGGATGTCAATCAACTCAATGTGTCTATTTATGCACATGCAAAAAGTCATCTGTGTGTCACACGATGACTCACACATTTTCCTCATTCCCTCCTCACAGGTTCTGAGATTCCTACACCTTGCTTCTCGACGATGCACTTCAGCGCGTCCTCCGCACACACTCGAGATAAAAGTTCGTACAACATGCAGTTTGCCAGTCGAAGAGGCCTAGGTAACATATGAAGCCCAAGAAGAAGGGTGAAGGCAGCGTGGCCCAACCGAGAATGCCCAACCGCTCCAGAATGAGTTCCAAACCCGAGACCCCAAGGACCCCAAGTTCAAAGCTCCCACGAAGCGAAATCGCGAGTCTGCCGACTTCAAACCGTTCCGGTGCTGTGCACCTCTACAAGAGGGTTGTAATTAGAACATTCGCGACCAAGAGTGCTGGAGCAACCCCACCGCATACAACGCTTCAGATTCATCAATGAACAAACAAGGACAGGGACAAGTGCAACTGATGTGTAGACGCAAAAACATGTGGCCTGTGGAAGGGGGTCGCATGAGTCAGCAGCCGAGGGCAGTATCTTGATGTTGTTCCCTGTAACTGTTTCTTCGTGATGCTGTTTTTCTATGGGTTGACAATGTCTTCAGCGTGCTGCTGAACATTGGAGGGCTGAGGCCTGAGCCATTTGGGGCGGAAGTCCAAACGGCGTAAGAAGACTGAGATGCATCTAGTCAAGTGCTTCAACGGCTCAAATATTCAGGCGCCTTTAGTCCAATTGATGTTCAAAGATGTTGCATCTTTAAATGTTGCCACACTCGCTCGCAATATTAATGTATTAGAATTTGGAAACGAAATTGCAGCAGGTATACACATGAGAGCGCCTATCACCCTCTTCACAGCCTCGCAAGCAGACCAACAGTATAGGACGTGCAGTGCCGCGCACCCACACACAGTCGGAAATGACGCGTACGATATGAACGCATGCCAGATTCCATACAAGGATGAAGTGGGGCCGCGTCAAGCCGTCAACAATGTAGCAGCGCAAACGCAAGGTCCAAGTACACAAAAGATTCGAAGCTCCAAATGTCCAACGAAGTTCCACAGTGAAGTTCCAAAGCATCAAACGCGGCGTGTCTGCCGAGGTGAAAACCCGACGCAACGACCACCATATTGTTGTAGGCCCAGAAGGAAATAAGTGGTAATTACAGCAGGTACGCCTGGCTGTTCAGGCCAAATATCAGCAAGGAACTTGACCCTCTTCGTTGGATCACCCGTCAAGTCCGTGGGCAATCCGCCTTGTTAAAATTCCCATGGATTCCCAAGGTTATACACACACGCGCGCCCACACTTATGGAAATGCGTACGGACTTGATTGCAGTTGCCACACGCCGGCCTAAGTGAAAAAACCAAGAGGTCAGGTGAGTAAAATCCCGTGATCCCAGGAAACCTCCAAGGCCTCTAAAGACCACTCTTGAAGTCGAATCGCCGCTGCAATAGACGCTTACTGCACAACAAAGAAGGAGACAGCTTTCGCCCTACTTATGTTCTCAAAACTCAAATCCACGTACGTCAACTTGCACGGTCTGGCGCCCCCTGCTTAAAAGCAAAACGCAAATCCCAAGGATCACTGTGACTCCAAAGGTTACACACGCACGCCTCCCACAAGGAGAGGCGAAGAAAACTAAGGCCAGGACTGATGCGCACGTGCGCGCGCAGCAAGGACAAAAAGATGAAGACGTGAAAAGGGTACAAGACAGGACAAAAAGTGCACGTGGTTGCGATGAAAAGGAACCAAGTGCACAGGGACAAACAATGAAAAACCACCTCATTGTCAAACCTGGGCGACCTGAAACCTGGGTTTGAAGTAAATGTAGATGTGCACACGCAAACTAAGGGCCGGACCAATGCGTACGCACAAGAAAGAAGGAATGAGATGCCAAGACATGAAGGCAGGAAGACATAAAGGAAAAGAGGAAAGAAAAAGTGTGTGAGGAGGAAAGATGAAAGGGGAACCAAATGGAGGCGTCAGGAACCGATGAAACCAAACCTAATTTGAAAGACCTAGGAAGACCTGCCTGGTTTCGAGTGTACGCGCTGTGTGCGCACCTAAGGTGGGGGCAGGTCCCCATGCATGGACCTTGAACCAGCTTTGGTCGCTGCAACCACCTCGTGGCATAAAGCCTGCTCTAGTCCGCTCCGGACACGTTCTGGCATGCTCGAAAGCGGCTACTTGGTTTCAATAATTCGTCAAGTCTTGGCAAATAACTTTGGCGTAAGCCTCCTACGCTCGCTGCGAACTGCTCTTTATCCGGGCAGGGGATACGTTGGAAAAATACCCTTTCGACGGGTCCACAGGGGGCACTCGTCGGGCTCACCCTGGGCTCTCACTGAGGAGAGACACACTTATGGAAATGCGTACGGAACTTGAATGCGGTTGCCACACGCCGGCCTAAGTGAAAAACCTACGAGGTCAGGTGAGTAAAAGCCCGTGATCCCAGGAAACCTGCAGGCTTCTAAAGACCACTCTTGAAGTCGAACCGCCGCTGCATTAGGCGCTTGCCGCTTACTGCATTAGCCGCTTACTGCGCAACAAAGAAGGAGACAGCTTTTGCCATACTTAGGTTCTGAGAACTCAAAAGCAGGTACGTCAACTCGGCGTCCCTAGTTGATATCACAGACCAGTGCAAAGTGTCTTTGTTAGCGCCAGACTTGCACGGTCCCTGGCACCCCCTGCTTAAAAGCAAAACACAAATCCGAAGGGGTCCCTGTCACTCCAAGGGTTACACACACACATGGGTGAAGTGAAGAAGTGAGTAAATATGTAAAGCGGTCTGAACACGAAAACTTCCATGAACCCCAACGATCTCGTAGTTCTCGAAAAGTGAAAACCGGAAGTCAGCGACAGGACGACGACGAGCGCTCACATCTGTAGAACTCATGAGCACTTGACAGGAGAGTATACAGCTTGGCATGAAGAGTTACAAGGGAAAGGTGGTCACCGGCTGCTTCTTACAAAGCACCCAGGTGCCGCACAGCAGGTACCTTTGCGCGAGCACTGCGTGAGCGTCTTCGTTGGCTCTCGTCTCACCCAGGCTCCGAGAGCCCCCTGCTTTTTGAAAAACAAAAAAGGTCTGCTTTGATTCGAGGGGTTTCACACACACACACACATGCCCCCCGTATAGAGAAAAATCTAAAACAAGGGCCCAGACTAAGGTGTAGGTGCGCACGCGCTGAAGACAAAAAGGTGAAGACGTGGGAGGAGGACAAGACAGACCAAGTGCACGTGGCTGCGATGAAGAGAGAAACCAAGTGACCAGGGACAAAAGATGCGCTAAGGTTAGGACAGACCGCAATGAGCCTTGAGAGAACTACGGCGGCGGTCTGCTCTGGCCTTGCCAACATGGCTGGCTGCTCTTGCCCGCTCCGGGCAACTGATGGCTTGCCAAAATTGCTGCCTCCATCAAAAACGTCAAGTCCTAATCAACGTTTGGCATAAGCCGCCTATGGCTTCCGGCGAGTTGCTCTGGTCCTGGAGGGACATAGACAAACCCCCGTTCAACGGGGAGACAGGGGACACTCTTCGAGTACACCCTGGGCTGGCATGGAGCCAGACACGCTCGGGAAAATGCGTACGGTATGAGTGAGTGTGTAAAGCGGAGTGAAGATGAAGACTTCCATGAATCATGAATCCCAACGATTTCGTAGTTCTCGAAAAGTGAAAACCGGAAGTCAGCGACAGGATGTCGACGAGAGCACTTGACGGACGGGAGAGTAGAGTCACAGCTTGGTATGAAGAGTTGCAAGGAAAAGGTGGTCACCTGTCACCAGCTGCGACTTACAAAGCGCCCAGGTGCCCCACAGCAGGTACGTTTGCACGAGCACTGCGTGAGTGTCTTCGGTGGCTCTCGTCTCATGCAGGCTCCGAGAGCCCCCTGCTTTTTGAAAAAATACAATGGGGTTCCCTTTGATTTCCAGGGTGTCACACACACACACACAAGCAGCTGCAAGCAGAGGTTTGCCACTCATTTTTGCGGTCTCGTCGAAGCGGGGCTATGCTGGCAACCACAAGCTATGCACATGCACATGCAAGTCTTCTACTGGGTTTCACAAGCGTTCAGGGCTTTCCGTATGCATTCACCATCCCCTCCTTGTAAGCATCTCGTATCTGCTTGCGCGGCCGCCGTCCGCTGCCAGTGTGATTCAAGTGACAAAAACTACACAAAGACCAATCACACCCTGTGGAGCTGGCAAAGTAAACGCATGGCTTGCACTTCAGAGGATGCTTTGCCAGACCTTAGTAAGTTGACCCAAGCTGATCCACACCCCAACCCCCGTTCCGCAAGCCTTCTTGCCAAGTCACTGGGCGGAACTGGATTCACGTCACCAGCAGGAGTGGACTTGCCTTCGCGGTCTCTGGAGCTTCTTGGATTTGGTCGCAGGTCCCCCAGCGACCAGGTCTTAGTGCACGGGCTGCGATCTTCCTTGAGCGATTTCAGAGGGACACATTGAAGGACACGACAAGTTGTGAACTGACACGTGTAATTGAAAGAAACGTACCAAATCGGTCATAATGGGTCCTCGATGAAAAAATTGAGGAAAGTATTTTTCACCTCAACCTCGTAATCCATCTTCTCGCTCATGGCGCCAGGGTCACTCCAAACTGCTCGGAAAACCTAGACGTTGTCCAGCCGCTGAAAAATCTTCGGGCCAAACTGCCTTCACCGCAAGTTCGCCACGTGCGTGTTCTGGATCCCTCAGGAGCCGAGTTCCTTTTGTGTTCATAGCCTCCCCATATGATATTGCCCTCTTTGTGATTTTTTTGGGGGGCTTAAAAGATCGGAACTCTGGTAGTCTTTAAGGAACTTGCCACCGGTCGGAACGGAGGTTCGCCACTCTGCAACCGCGGCGGTTTGTTTACTTATGTACTTTTCTCGGAAGTCGGATGACCTGGCGGAGCATTCTGTTGAGAATTGAAAGACACATTAGACAAGGGTGGTTCAAGTCTTGGCACAGGCGCAATGGTTCGCGATTCCCGCGTGGGTTTCTAAGGAAATGTTAACTGTTGCTGTGCCATTGGGAGTGACTGCTGGAGTTGCGTGTGTGTTGATGTGTGTTGACAAGTCTCAGCTTTGACGTCGTTTTTTCACATTTGCTTCCAGAGTGCTTGGGACGGAAACATCAAAAATCGCTTTCTAGTATGCAGTACAAGCACCTTGGCAGGATAGTGCTCTGCCGGAGCTTAGTTTGCTGCCATATGGCAAAAACGATGGCAGAAGTGAAGGGCAAGTTGTGCAGTTGAAGATTGATATTGGTGGTCCAATACTGCATTTGTTTTTACGGTGTTCACCAGCTTGGGCAACAAGTACAAGTTTGCCTGTATTCCCCTTTCTGCTCAACAGGGCTTGTCGGCACTTAGGCGGCTTGAAGGCCTTTGGCGACGGTCAGATGCTGCAGGACCGCGTTGAGAAGAAGATTCCATGCTCTTTGCGGAAGTGACTCTGGCATACTCTGGCGTCGTAGTTGCCTTCCCTTCTTGTACGGCCGAGGAGGCCTTGCTTTTGACCTTGTTTGCAATAGAACGAGACTCTTGTCGCCGCGGGCTGAGACAGGGGCCTCCAAGCTTAATAGTGATGGCCTCCAACCTAAAAATACCGATGGCCTCCAACCTAGTAGCGATGGCCTCCAACCTACTAGCGATGGCCTCCAACCTAGTAGCGATGGCCTCCAACCTACTACCGATAACCTCTTCTATATGCAAAGATGTTTTGCATTGCGTTTCTTTCATGGTTCCCTGTTTCAAAGTCATTCATCTTGTCAATGACTCCCACGACACAGGAATCGATGAGTCCTTTGACATGGTGCAGGGCTGGAGGAGGCTCCCGGCTCCCAGAAATTTTTGCAGGCCTTTGCTAAAGCAACCCGCGACCACAAGAAGGGCTAAAGAAAATAGTGAGGTCCCAAACCAGCTTAGCACCTTTTGGCATGTTCTTGCACATCGCAAGGCGTCGTTCGAAGGATTCTTCTTTGTCGCCAAGGCCCAAGGCCCAAAAACACAATCACACCAAAGGCGACCTTGACAAGGAGCACATGCCTGTGGCTTCATTGTTTCCACTCGTGGGATAGCTCAAGGGACTCATGAAGGAGTTTGCTCGGAGTCTGTTTTTGGGGTTCATCCACTTCCCCTAGTTCCAGGCTCTTTCATGGAGAAACTGGTGTTTTGCATGAATAGTCTTTGCTCGGTGTGAAGACCAAGCCTTTGGAGATGGATCGGCCTTCTCGTTTGTAGAAAGCCATCTATGTACAGCGAAGGTCGTCTCACCTCTGAATGGGGCTTTACGGCCGACTCAGAGCAAGCTGGGCGACTGCGCAAGTGGATTTCTGGCTTCATTGAACAAATCCAGGGCTTAAGGGGTATCAAGTGCTTCAACTCTTGGTGGAAATGCAGCTGTGGGTGAACATTTTTTAGAAACGCCTTCTGATTTGTTGGCTTTCACGGCTTTCACACAATACCCCTCCAATCATGATGACCCGTCCGAAAGGTCTTGAGCAAAAAAAGAAAAAACGATTAAACCATCCTTCTACGAACGACAAACGAAACAGGGAATGAAAGAAGAGACGTCTTTGGGAAGGCAGAAGGCGCCCAGCCGCCCAGCCGCCCAGCAAGGCTGGTGTCATCTCAAGGAGACCTCAAACAGAACCGGAAGAGATTCTAATCAACTGTCTAAATAAACCAAAAAAAATGGTCTAAAGAAACAAACTCATGTAAAAACATATATACATATATAAAAGCTCACGCCTGTCGTTTTCTGACGCGCTCCGCAGTTTAGTCACAAAAACCAGACCTATGGTTGCGTCAAGTCTTACTCTAACTTGACCTGAGTCTCTCTCTGACTCGTTTCTCTCTTCGCTGAGGCTCAGTGAAGTGATCAGTCCGCCTAGCCGAACTGAACACCCACTCCTCCCATCCCCTAAAGCCTCTCGCCAAACCGAGAGCTTTAGGCTGGTGTCTTTTGTTTTTAAAGAAAAAATAAACCATCGTCCCAACCGCCCTTATCCCCCCTTTCCCTTGCGCTTGTTCGCGCTCAAGTGTTGAGGTCTGATTCCTGAGTGAAACACCTGGGTAAATGGTTTCAACTTCTGTTTTGGCAAGTGGAGTTCTGCAAGAACTGCAAGGCCCTCATTGATATAAATCCGGGCCGTTTTTACAGCTTGCCACCTTCCAGCAATCATGAGTTTACAGGATGAGTTCGCGTTCCTGCACATGCGGCCTGCGCCATTCTCCCCTTTTGTTCCACAAACCATGGGAGTCTTTGTACTGGTAGGGTGAAAGATCTCGGATATGGCTCCCGCAGGAAGGTTCGCCATGGGTCATGAAGACAGCTCCAGTGATGAGTCCGATGCTCTTCGTGATGACCAGCACCTTCCTTTTGCGGCGGCTTTCAAAAAAACGAAATCACTCAGGAGCGTTCCTTGGCTAGGGTTGTTCAGTCAGTCAATTCTTCTTCAATGGCGTGGGGTTGTTTTTTGTGACCTCATACCCAATTCTGGAACCCCGGCCCCTGATACACCTTTTTGTCTGAGGTTTGGTCTTACCCTTGTCGTGGGTCACTCTGGCAAGGTCAACAAAAAGGGCAAGGTTCCAACCATAAAGGACCTGCTTGCAAACCAGGAGGACGGGCCTGGACAAAAAACTGTAGGGTCTAGACTGGCTGTGGTTCGTTTAAAGCTTTCGTGTGTAGAGGCAACCTCTACTGCCTGTAGGTTCTGCTGGCGGTAGTGAAGGGAACAGAGGGGCGTCCCCACATATCTGCCGGAGTTCTGAAACGAGCTATCTTGGCTTTCTACTCAAGTTGCAGCCTCTTCCCCCTTGGTTTGGTGGCTGAGTTGCCAGCAGTTGACCAGTGGGCTGAAAAGAGCGCCAAAGCCTTGAAGCGGTTGGTGTGAGTCCTAGTTCTTGCTGGGGCTTCCCTTTTTCATGATGCTTTCAGTGTTTTGGTCTAATGAACTGAAGATTCTTGGTCTCTAGGCTTCACGTCTTCGCCGGCTGATGAAACGATCCCACACTGCAAAGTCCAAAGCTTTCTCCTCCATGAAGCAGAGAGCTCGTGAATGTGGTTGGGATACGTTGCGCAACACCTCCAAGGACCCCGAATCTTGCCCTATGGGGTTTTACAGTAGTTGGCGTTGGTTTCAAAGTCTGGGGAGCAAAGTCTAAGCGTTGTACCTTAGTTGTTTTGAAAGGTGACTGCGGCATAGGGCTTGCTTCCTACAGTTGGTTGAACAAGGAAATCCACCGCATGTCTCTGCCCTGCAACCTCAACGGTGTGTCCTAGGAAGCTACGGCTCCTCCCATGGATGGCTGCGATGGCCTTGAAGAGTTGGAGACGCCCTGTAGCTCCACTGCCACCCCTGCCAGTGAACTCACATCATGTGTGTCTTCAGTCTCTTCCGCATCAAGTGACAGGGTTTCCAGGGTTGTTGCTCAGTTGAGCCGGTTGAAGCTGAACTTTGATGGGGCTGTGGAACCCGTCCAGGCTACTGCATCCACTGATGACATGGCCATGACCCCCGTGAGCCAGACTCCAAAGCCATCCTATGAGGAAGTGAAAGGTTCAGATTTGGCATCCCCTCCCAGAGACCTTACCAACTTCCAAAAGGTTGCTTTGCTTTTGAAGAAGGTACGGGATGATCGCTTGGCACAAAACCCGGCCCAGCCCAATGCTTCTCTGCCAAATGAACCGGAGAAGGGAAAGCAGTCCCCCACACACAACAAGTTTGTACTTCCTCCATTTGCGCCATGTCTGATTGGCAGGCTTTAGGGTTGCCATGCGTTTCAAAAACAAATCCAATCCGATAGGCTTTTTGGGGTGCATTGAAAAATCTTGTAGGGTTAGCTACCTGCCAACACACAAAAACCCAGCAAATAATAATGGTGCACTGTAGACACATGGCTTAGGTGCTGGAGACCTTGAAGAAACACAGCTCGGAGCCCGAGCCTTTCCCTCTGCACCAGCAGTATGTGAAGAACGTGGCAGGTGCTGCTACAGCGGAAGCGGAAGAGAACCAGAGAATGGAAACAATCCCCCAAGCACTCCCTCCAACCCAGGGCCCAATGTGGATGGGGGTTTTGGTGAGAAGGGGGACAAGACCTGGGATTACAATTTGAAGCGGAAAGATTTCATTCAGGCAAGGCAAGCAGATGGCTTCAAGTATGCCACTGCCAGCGAACTGTGGAACAAAAGCCTTGAAAAGGCCCAGGCTCTGTGTACAGTTTCGGTGCCCGAACTGAAGCGCCGGAAGTTTCTTCCAAAGGGTTGTTCACACAATCCATGGTTTGATAGGGTTCATGGAAAGCCTGAAGGCTAAACAGCAGTTGGGGAACCTTAGCGCTTGGAAGGGGTCAAGCCAAGCATTCTAGGGGCATGAAAAAAGAAATGCGCCTGAAGGTTCTGTTCTGACAGTTTACGCTTTTGTGCTTTCATTTTCCTCTATTAAATCGGTTTCAGGTCTTGAGCAGTCAGCTTACCGCTGGCAGTTGACGGTCCAGAAACGCTAGGGTGCACAGCAAACATTGGGGTGTGCGGCTATGGTGGTGAAGGATCTCCTTTCCTTCAGAGCCCCTCCCATTTTGATCCTAGCTTGCCTCCTTTTGATATGGAACACCAGCGTCAAGCATGATGTGAACATTTGGAACAGAAACAGAAAGGTTTTGCTGGTTATAGAACGTGTTGTAGCCAGGCCATGTCCAAAACTTTGAGTTTGAACTTGGCCAACACGTTGCGCCAAGGACCGGGACTTTTTGGAAGTCTTTGCTGGCCAGTCGCAAATTACGCAAGCGCTACGTCGGGTTTCTTGTTGGCACCGCGCATCTCTGCCAGACACCTGTTGCCAGGTAAGGGGGCAATAAGAACAGCGCCCACCCCTAGCCCAAACGCGCCAGCCTCATGCACTTCAATGCTCCAAGGCTGACCTACGTGGCGCTGCCATTGACAAGGACCACAATGATCGGGCCTTTGACTTGACTTCTTGTGGAGCCTTTGCGTTTCTCGGGTTTGAAGGGTGTTGTAGCATGGCTCCTGCCAGTCCAACCAACTATCATCCCCCAAAACGGAGCCTCCACACTGAAGAAGAAAGTTGGGCTACTTTATGATTTGCTCTTGTGGGGTTGCTCCCAAAAATCATCTTGCTGAGGCTGGTCCTGAATGAAATCCTACGGTGCAAACCAGGTTCGCTGGTGGTTTTTGCTCCGCGCTGTGCATCTTTCTCAAAAATGAATCTTGGCACGCGCGGGCGCCGGTAAAACACGTATAACCACAAAGCGGATGGTAAAATGAGCTGACTAAAGAACTGCTGACCAAACTGCTTTCAAATGGATTGTTCATCTTAGGTCCAGGTACACCTCAGGTCGGACTGTCCTGACACCCTATGGAAATGGTGGCTACACCTTTGTGCGGGGTAATCTGCTGGCATGTCGGGTCATCCTTCTCTTAATCGTATGTTCTTGGAGAGGGTTGCGATGGGTGCTTGAGCAGCCTGATGGAAGCTTTCTCCCGCAACTACCGCGCTTTCAAGCGCTGCTGCGCAGCGTCGAGGTGTGGTTGGAAAAGCCGATGGCCGATGACATGCCCTTATTTATACACAGCCACCGCTAGGAGAAAGGTTCTGTTCTTTCCGCGGGCAGGTAGGGGTAGAGTGTTTTCTGTTTCAGTTGGCTATAGCAACCTGCCCCTGCAGGTGTGGTCGGGATGTTTCTACATGGGCAACTTTGGTGGTGAGACTCCTAAGAAGCACCGGATTTGGAGCAACTGCAGGACCTTTGTATAGAGGAGCTGGTTCAGGCTGCCGGATTCATGTCTCGCGAGCAACAAGCTTCTTTCACTGTGAAAACTGTCCGGAAATACCGTGACAGAAACGGAATCTTGCGGTGTGTTGGGGACAAGGACGTTCTCCGTCGTTCCCAGTCACTGCGCATGAGCCGGTTTGCGCGTTACTTTTTGCCCCTAAGGGTTTTGAGTTGTTTTGACAGGGATCCGCGCAAGCCACCCCCACAAGAGCTATTATAATATCAATCTGAGGCACTTTACGAAAATGTTTGGAGACTTTGCGCTGTCCCTGGTGAAGAAATTGGAGGGTGTCTTTTGGCATTCTATAGCACAAGTTGTTTTCAAGGACAAGTCAATAAAGCTGGCCCTTCCACTGGTTCCTGTCAACCATGAGACATGTTCCTGTCAACCATGAGACATACCCAAAAGAATTCTTTAGAAGGGGGTGCCAGTCAGGTCTCTTTGCCTATTGCAAAACCTGGTGTCTCCCTGCCACTTGGGCTGTCGGACGTTGAGCTCTTCAAGAAGCAATGCTTGCCCCTGGAAGAAACGGACCTTTGGCAGGAAGCAGCCCGTCTTGTTTTCGTCTTGGTTTGGGGGTGGGAAAAGACTTTGTTTCTTTTTAAGTTTACCTGGAAGGCTGGTTGTGGTCCTTCTCACCCGCCCTGTCTCCAAACGACTCCTCAGATCAGGCGCAGATGCGTGATGTGATCACATACCTGGGCCGGTCCAAGCACCTGGATGTGAAGGGAAGCTGGGAGCCATGGAGTGTTTCATTCACCCAAGAAGGTGTTTTTCCTTTTCGCGAGTTTGAGTTGCTGGGTGAAACTATATATAGCACGCTGGCCCCTGTCTTTATTTGG